CCGTACGTGGAGATAACTTGCCTGCTTCGTTTTGTCAAACACTTTGCATGGATTCTTTCCTCTCACCTTCTGTTGAAGTGCGACTTAGTGCTGAAGGGTACACAGGGTACACAGAGTACACAGGGTACACAGGGTACACACGGGTACACAGGGTACACAGGGTACACAGGGAGAATGGGTAACAGGGAGTCTATATGGAGACTGGGTAACAGGGAGTCTATATGGAGACTGCCATGAATTACTTGCCCTCCGGGATGGCTTCTGGTTTCAGCCTCGCTTGGAAACGATAACTTGTCAGAATTACAGGGTATGCTGGGAAAAATAAATGGTTGGTTGAAGTTTCAAGTATTAGTGGGTTAAGTTTTTTTTCCACATTAAAAACTTTAAGTGCGTGGAATTAAATTAAAGAATTCTTCAATTCAGTTCTCCCAAAAGCCGTCAATTTATTCAGGGTTCATATCTGAAAATATCAAGGATCACAATTCGGATTGCCTCAGGAAGAATTTCGTAATCACTTCGGAAAGTTCTCCCCATTCCTTACACTCGCTCATTTTGTGTGTACACTTGCCGGCTTTTCTTCCTTCGGCGTTTTTCATTTTAACCCCTCCCCTAGATCCGCCAATGATAACGACCCCCTCCTGCGTCTTCCAAAGACACAATCTGGCGAGTGTTAACAGATATGTTAAAAAAAAAACCAGCAAAAACAACGATAAGAACAACGACAAAAAGAGCAATTTCGTTTGAAAATCCACATGAATCTATCTCCAGCTATCGCCCCTTAAACTTTTGCTGGGAGGGGGGGTAAACGCCTTGATCAAATCACCGAACTGGTTTATTACCAGTATTAAGAAGTATAATATCCCCTAAGACTCAGGCCAGCACTCCAACCCAGACCTCCCAATAGTCCTTTTTACAGCTGTGGGCTTGGTAGCCAAGCCTTTGAACAGGAGCGAGGCTAAGGGTGACCTTCTAATGATAGAGATGTTGCTACTTTTCAAATGCAAATTTATTTACATATGATGCACGATCCTCGCAGTGGAGAGCGCTATTTATGCAATAGCGAAAATCAGACCTGAAAAAAATCAGGCCTGTACGGGATTCGAACCACTGACCTCTGTGATACTAGTGCAGCGCTCTACCAATTGAGCTAACAAGCCAACTGGGAGCAGGCCGTTAAGTTGATTCGTAATAAACCCGTGANCAGAGGTCAGTGGTTCGAATCCCGTACAGGCCTGATTTTTTTCAGGTCTGATTTTCGCTATTGCTTAAATAGCGCTATCTACTGCGAGGATCGTGCATCATACGTATCTAATACCGCAGTTCAAAATATATGAACTTCATATATTTCATTGTATCTGATTTATCACTTTCACGGGTTTATTACGAATCAACTTAACGGCCTGCTCCCAGTTGGCTTGTTAGCTCAATTGGTAGAGCGCTGCACTAGTATCGCAGAGATCAGTGGTTCGAATCCCGTACAGGCCTGATTTTTTTCAGGTCTGATTTTCGCTATTGCATAAAGAGCGCTCTCCACTGCGAGGAACTTGCATCATACGTATCTAACACCGCAGTTCAAATACATGAACTTCATATATTCATGGTAGCAAATTTATTTGTTATCATGCTAACTAGATACAGATCTCTATCACAACAGGGTCACCCTTAGCCTCACTCCTGTTCAAAGGCTTGGCCACCAAGCCCACAACTGTAAAAAGAAATATTGGAGTTCAGCGAGTAGGGTTCTTTGACTAATGTCAACTTAGGGCCTTATTAAGTACATGTTCCATCAAAGCTGATGGTACTAATTGAGTTGAAATCTTATTTTCGGTACATTCACTATACAATAATTTTATTTTTACACCAAGATTACTTGATGCCTTTGTACTTTCTAGAACTATTTACGTCTAAAAGTGCCGTTCGACGCTGTTAGTTTTCTTTTTACTGTCTTCCACTTCATTCAAATCCCTTCCGTTCACTTGGGAATATAATTACAACAATTTAGAGACCGGGGATTTCCTGAGAAAAATCATTTAACTTTAAGAGTATTCCATAGCGATCAGAGGGTGAGCTTTTGTGTTTTGCTTAAGAAACAAGGGGTTTCCATGTTTCGTTGAAATAGTTCCACTGTTACCGATGACAGTAATGAATCAAAACCATTTACGTGATAGATTAAGCCTTCTGCACCTCACATTGTATTCTAATCACAGGTAAAATTATTTACGCTTTCCATTTGATAAGAAACCCAACTGATTCTGAATTGGGTAATTCGGTTTACCAAATGAGTTAATGATGAAAATTTGCCACCGTAAAGAATTTTGAATTTGACATTTCGAGCGTTCGCCCTTCTCGGAGCGAATAACGAAGGGCTAGCGCTCGAAACGTCAGCTCTTAAACTCTTTACGGTGGCCAATTTACATTTTCAAATCCGCAGTTGATAAAACCAAATTACCTTGCTATCCCCACCGACGCAGCACCACAGTTTCTTTAGAAACTTTCCCCCTTCATCATGTTCGTGAATCTGAATAACACGAATTCGGGAAATGATGATCTGTAGATGTTCAGCAGTAATGTCATCCCACTCAGCTATAGTTCATTTTGACAAGCAATTAAAAATAAAACAGGCTACAGATAAGTGAATTTCATTTTCTTCCCGAATATCTCTCTCTACCAGTTTCTCCCAGAGGCTATATCACGACTCTAACATCGGTAAATATTTCCTCATTTATTTTGTTTTTACAACTACCATTCGTCGCTATACATTACATTCTAATAACGACTTTAGTCCTCTCATAACTTGACCACCGATATTCACTTCTGTAACCCGTTTTCCTTCTTATTCATTCCCAAGCCCTCCGAGACCTCCCGAGTATCACCGAGAAATCGGTTTACAAACGTTTTGTGTCTTCGCGCCATTCATTACCCTACGTACTGTGAAGAGAAGAAAGAGCTACCGTACGTGGAGATAACTTGCCTGCTTCGTTTTGTCAAACACTTTGCATGGATTCTTTCCTCTCACCTTCTGTTGAAGTGCGACTTAGTGCTGAAAATTTTATGTGGTCGGATGGTTCTTGGGCACCAGATTTCCGTTGACAAACTCCAAACTTACAACAGGACACGGCTAAAATAACCAAGCCGAGAACAGCGGCGTTGGTTATCAAAGCTACTTCTGTCTTCGACAAGCCCGTAACGTAGCAAAAGTTTCTTAAAGCATGCACGAGGTGCCTGTAGTCGTAAGCCTTAATCCATTCTCCGCAATTCAAAGTCTGAGGATGTGAAGTAGGCGTAAACGAGCAGATTCACTTCTCGCTAAATAGGCATCACAAAGTGTTCTCATCAATAAAATATTACCGAAACACACCTGATTATGTTGTTTCATTATCAGCGCTGTTACGTTCAGGGTAATAGCGGGGGCCAAACAATCCCTTTAGAGGGAGTGACAGTAATAACATGGGTCAAGGGATGTGTCTCTGTTATGCTGGCGAAACAACAAAAAAGCTAAAGCTGACATGTTCACCCTAATTCATGTCGGGTAACAGGGGTAACAGCACCCGGCTTGGCTTCTGTACTTGTAGTCACGTCTAATAGCATGTGTGGGGGATCAAAATATTGATTAAAAGCATGTCAAACCGAGGAAGAAAAATCAGTAAACTTAAACTCTACTTCTAAACAGTTATGGACAAAGAAAAGACTTAATTTCGTCAAAACAATTTATTAGAATGTAATCCAAAAGAGGTCCGCAGATCAGTGGAGGAATCATTTTCACCGGAAGAAAAAGGATCAGTATATATCCGAGAAGAGGACTCCTTCTGAGGTTTCTATTCAGTTTCGAAGAAGCTACGGGACAATATTTTAATAGAGCTATACTGTGTGGCAAAAGTCTTTGCACGCGCTGCTACTTTTTGATTTTTTCTACAACTTTCAGTAATTAAGGTGTATGGGCGTTTACTCACTTGTCCTCGTGAAGGAAGGTCTTGATACATGAGGATTTTTTTCCAACGGATCACTGACTGTTCCGTAAAGATCAAGAGTCCAGTTAAACAAATAACCTGTAAAAAGCAAAAGAGTAATGTTCGGTAGATTAGCACCTCATTTATCTCCAGCGTCTGTGCAGCGTTCATGGGGGGGAAGGGTAGGGATAGGGGGGCAGGATTCCTTGTATCATGGTACCCTTCTTAGCTCCACTCATCTCAACCTCGTGATGTTGAAGTGGCTGTCAAACGTTCTTTACGATGTTTTCTGCAACTGTGCAAAAAAGGGAAGGTATAAGCACTCATACCTGAAAATTTGTAGGCTTGAAAATGTTTCTTGAACCTCAGTTTCCAAGTCCCTTCGGGAATTTCACCCCAAAATTGCAGGCACAGTATCGGCCAACTATTGAAATCTGTCGCAATTACGTCGTTTGCGCGATATAGAAGGATCTGGGATGTGGTTCCACCAGGTGAGGTAAAATATAGTCTCTTCTCGCAGCCGTTCTTTGTCTCGGGATCCCTGTGTCTCCCTCCCCACAAACGGCTGCTCGTGTTGACCAAACATTCCATTCCAGCCGATTGACCTTCCGAAATCTGGAAGCCTCATAATATATTCATCTCGCCAATGCTTTTCAAAACGTTTGTTGTGCAACTTGTCAACAGGAACGAGTAGAATACTGGTGCTCTCTCCCTACATTCGTCACAAATTCTCTTTAGATCTAAATTTTCAAGATCTTCCTTTGAGTTTCTTCGGAACAATATTAGTTTTTTTAATAAGCAAAGCCAAGTTATTTCTTCAGAGACTATACGTAAGACCCTTTGGATAATATGCTTGCACATCGACTTCGACTTTAAAACTGCATTAGCAAATCTTGAAGCGGGACCTTGAGCCAAAGCCTTGGTAATAACTTCCACGTCTGGACCAAGTTTCTTATTGATAGTTTTGCTTGGGTATTCAATGCACAAGCTGACTTAAGGTTCGGTCGGCCATGGCTGTGGAGTAGACAATACTGGAGCTGCGAGCTTTGTCGTGTGAACATGCGGCGATTTCTCAGCGATTATTGGACTGACGGGTAGAGTAGGTAGCAGTATAGCTGATGCACTAGAAGATTGAGGCGTACAAGGCAGAGATACTGGCGGTTCAACTGTAGGACTTGGAGGCAAGAAGTACATGTGCTAGGGCCGGTGAAATCGAGAGCTTTCGCTACAAAATTAAGATCGCTTTGCGTTCGAGTCGCTGTCAAGTGATGGTTGAAGTCTTTTAACCCGGTGATCTTGAATGGAATCATAGCCAGCTTTCAGTTAATTTATTAGCTCTTGGAGATCGTTCTCTAATTTCTTAATCTTAGAAACTTTTCTGTAGCATTTGAAACATATATATAAAAAGTAGAATTCAAATAAATGTCGAAAGCTTCCAAGTTTATACCCAGTGCTAAACTTTCGACGCTCGCTATATCAGCCGATCTTCCGAAGATTCTAACTCTTTCTTTAGTCGAAACTGCTGACGTACATCCAGATAAATTCCTGCAAGTTACTTTCTTGGGGGTATCATCCATAAAAATTGAAAAATAATGACATATTTAGCTCTACAAACATGAAAATTGGCCAAGTTTGGAGAGATGCTCCCCGGTAAACTCGCGTGCAACTTTTTGCTTCCTGATTGGTGGATTCCGAACAACTGCTCAACGCTCATTGGTTGAAGGAAACAAAGGGAATGAAATATTTGGTCAACACGAGCAACCGTTTGTGTGGAGGGAGACACAGGAATCCCGAGACAAAAAACGGCTGCGAGAGGAGATTAGGTCAAATAGCCCTCAAGGCAACGACGTCTGTCAAACCTGGCTTTAATTATAACGACAACGCGTTCCAAATACTGGATGGTGTTCTCGCCACCACAGTTGAATTTGGACACGTTAAGTGTCACTTCTGTGTCACCATTCTGCCCGATAAATCTGCAAAATGGAAGCATCAGTTGGTGTAACAAGTTCACATTAGCTTTATAAGGAGATGTTAAGAAGCCCGACAGATTTCTTTGCCACGCATTTTTATCTTTTTCTAGACTTGATTTTTTTATAATCTTCAAAAGCATTGCTATCACCTTGAACTACCTTACAAGACAAATATAACTTTAATTTAACCTTTTCAATAAAAAAGGGCTAAAAAACAAAAGATTGCCCTTGATGAGGAAGATCTTAAAATAAACTACAGCACTCTTTCTCTTTAACATTTGTCCGCTGGCAAAGGCGGCTTTTTCCACTATGCTCAACTTATGAAGGTAGAGACGCAATCCCGCCAAGGTTTTCATTTAAAAGGTTTCATTATCCCTGTTCACTCTGGGGGGAGGAATCTCGCATTTGATCTGTTCTGACACTGCATGCCACGACATGGAATAGTTCACCAAAGCTGCTGCATCCATGAGTCCAAATCCAAAGTAACTACTAACGTTTTAATCATCTCCTAATAGACATTTTTTCGACTGCCTTTCCGCCACCTATTTCCTAACCTTTACCATGTGATGGGGGATCATTTTTAATCTTGCTTCCTTTTGATTGGAGATACAAGTGATGGATCTAGGGAAGAGACACGGGGAGCCCCCCCCCTTATTTTGAGTAAAAAGAAAATAAACGCAGAGGGAAGAAAAGCGGGCAGGTGAGCCCATAAATAACCCCCCCCCCCTTGACTTAAGGTCTGTATACCCTTCATGCAATTCAGTGATGTTGCCTTATCTTTTTGACTCATTGATTTCGTGCCACGTTGAAAACAAGTTTTTGTGTTTAATCGATAAACGAATGTGCTGCTTGCTCACAACAGAAAGTGATGTCACTTTAAGTTCTCAAATCGGAGTAGGATGATCGTTGGTTTGATAACGAAGGATAACACCATTGCTATAATTCGGAAATTCTTTTCATTTTTTTCTCCTTTACCGAACATTATAGCTAGTTTTTTTCCAAATGCAGAAACATCGACATTGGAATGAAATCGAGTCATTTATCCGTCTAAAATGGAGGTCGAAGAGGCCTCAGATTGTCACCCGAAGGATAACGTTTTCGCTTTTGCTCAATCAAATTCATACATAAAATTGAAAAAAATTGGAATATACTACCATAGGTGAATTGGAAAATCCGAGCCAAAAGAGAAGATTTACGTCAGCCTGAACCTCAAACTCGGCTCGATACCTGAAATTGAACTAGCTTACAATTTTTTTGACCGCTATCCTCCTTATTGACTGTTTCTTTAAAAATAGAATAAAATGTGCTTTTTTTAAATCACTCATTCCACGTTAATAAGGAATGGCTATAAATATATAAATATAAAAGATGTTCATTTCAAACGTGCTCTACCGATACAGTGCCTTTGTAGATCGCCGACAGATATTTCAACTCTGCCAAACTGTTCGTCGTGCTGTTTTGTGATTCACTGGACTGGGATTGACGGTTTGACACCCTTTAGGGTGATTAAGAACTACGTCAGGGCTTTGTTCATCTTGAAATAAAGGGTGCTAAACGTCATTACTTTGTAATTTTGCGACTCGCGTTCGACACCATTGTTCTCTGTTGGTTTGTTTGTCTCGCTGGTTCTTGTCAAGAAAACTATTTCTTAAGTAATAATTTGACGCAATATTTGTATTACAACTTGAAGCGAAAAAGGTCTTCAGTTTTCATTTCAGTACACCTTTCATCTCTGTGAATTTCAAAAGATATACATCAACAACAACGCTGAGCTGAGATTAGTCGAGAACACATGGAATGGCGAACATCATAGCCAAGGAAGAAGTTAACACAATCAAAACAGAAGTGCTACACTTTATAAGCAGTGCTCCAGATGGCTTATCTACTTTTCTCGAAGCTCTAAACATAATTCTCGCCATTATCGGATCTTTGGGCAATACTCTTCTCATTACTTTGCATAAAGTAACGTCTATTTATCCTCCAACAAAATTTTTCTTCCGAAGTTTGGCGATCACTGATCTTTTCGCTGGTCTCATCATACAACCAATGTACTCAATAACACTTATACCAGGGATAAGCCACACGAAACTTGTGTACTACAGCATCCAGGTAACTGGTATTTCTGGCTCAATTTTGCGCACTGTATCTATTTTGATGTCAACGGCAATCAGCGTGGATAGGATTTTGGCGCTGCTATTAGGGCTGAGATACAAACAGCTTGTAACACTAAAGCGCGTGCGAGCGGTGGTGAGCTTTATTTGGTTCCTGAGTTGTGCAATGGGTTGTGGATGTAAATTTATTTTTCTAGATAATCTTTTATTATTTCAGATTACACTCTGTATCAGTCGAGAGAGTTTCCTAGATAAAAATCCCAACTTCCTCTTTTTACGAATTTGCATCAAGTTATGTGAACAGTTTGGTCCAAGCTCTTTTTCTACATGATTTCCGTTCTATGTTTAGACTGCCTGGTGTAAGCTATTCCCCTTACGGAGACTGTTACAGGTTTTGCCCCTTTGTTTGTCAGTGGGCCCTGGGACCCACTCGGTCAGCTTAGTTTCCCAGGCCCGTTCAGTCAGGAGCTCGTGTGTTGCGTCTTAAGTTTCAGCAGAGTTCACTTTACAACCTCATTATTTGTCAGTTTATCACTCATCGCAGCATCATCCATGTAAGTTTTCATCTTTCTGTTATTTTATTGTTTTGCCTTATCGTATTTTCTGTCTTCTGTTTCTGTTTCATCGTTTTCTGTATTTTATTTGCATGTAGTTTCACCACACCGAAGATAAATAAACAAATTGATTTGCATAGTCTTCGTGTTTGGTTGAACACTGCGCTGAGAACGCGACAGAGACAAAAGCCTCCAGTGGCGCATTCATTCACTTTTTTAATTAAACGCTATTTTGGTGTTATTAAAAATGCCAATAATCGTCGGTAACTCAACAATTTCTCCGAATTCAGATCATCATTTGCTCTTCATCTAGACTCCAAATTGTAACTTTTAAAAGAAGCAGTGAGAAAAGACATCATCAGAAACAGTCATTCTTTCTTTTTTTTTTGAGTTTCAGTTATTATGTTGCCTTTAGTTTTTCCCCTCCAGTGACGCACAATTCAAACGTATTTCATGTATGATAG